GGGGGGGCGGGGAAGCTAAGTTGCCATCACTAACCTAACTCTCAATTCCCCCTAAGCCAGAAGATTTAACTACTAGTGTGGCAAGTTGGCCAAGTAAAGTGATATGTTGATCACATGAACGGCAAAAGTCTACGCCTAACATTGTGTCTTTTACTGCTTTTACTGTAATTACTCAGATTATCCGTAATTACATGCAACATGCCTTTCCTTCTCACTTCTGAGCTTGGGAAACATGAACCAGTCATTCCCTTCACCCTGTCAGTTATACAATGCTCTATGACAGTAGACAGACACTGCTCGTGACCTCTCCAGAGATAATCAGTACACCGCCACGAACATTTGACTGAAGGTTAAATGTATTTTGAACAGAAGGCAGCATTTCACCCTCCAATACACCATATAACTTCACAATGCTTTGAACTTTTCTCTATCACTTAAGACTGCTAGATGTTCAATGAATGCTACGTTTTGCAATTTTTCTTTTAATAAAAAGCAATTTTCCATGCTATTAATACCACATTGATAACTCTGTCTAATACAAAATTCTCTCCTCCTTGCAGTTTAGCTAATCAGTAATTGGTTAAGCTAACCAGTACCAAAAGTTTAGAGATTTGCATCAGTTATCGTCCGTTTTATGCACACACTTGTAGAACTGCAACCGATATAGAAACTTTGTACTAGTACCCTACAGAACTATTGCTAAAAATTGATTAAAAGTTTATGACAGTAGGAACAAAGTACTCACCCCATCATAGAGAGAAATGGAACTCATATGGTTCTTTGAAATTGAAATGCTGCCATGGTGGGGATCAGAAAAGAGAATGCCATCTGAAAAGAAGTACAATTTGCCTAGAATTTAAAAGAAAAAAACCCCTGTATTAGGTATATATCAATATTTCAGCATCATGTGACAAATGTCTCTTCTTTCCGAGGAAGAAATCTATGTCCTTACAGAATTTTGTTATATTTAACATGCAGTAGATTTGAGTAAAGATTTAGGATAGTATCCAGACAGTATTCAGAGCACAACTGTACAATCTTTACGGGATCTCACTATCAAGGGCAGGTATCATGACTATGACTACATTTGACTTAATCTTATCCCCTTGAGCCCACTTATCGTAAATATTCTGTGGTGTTTTTTTGTTTTTAAAGCCAAAAAAAATTTCCATCAAGTTGAATTGCCAACTTCCAAAAATGTAAAACTGATAAAACAGGAACTGAAGAAAAACTTACATCCAAAACAACTGAAATATTAAACATTGTAACAAGTTGGTCAGATTTGCAGCAAAATGCCAATATACTAACATATACCATGCAGACAGTATTAAAAAAAAACAACAAACAAACCACAACAGTTTTTCTTTCACTTCCTGACCAAGACAAAGTTTAACACAGAAAAGCCCTTTACCTGCAGACTTGTGTTTTCTTTTGCCTATAGAGACAACTGTTACTGGGCTAGCAATTTCCCTGGAAGCTAACAACCTAGTGACAGCCAAGAGACAGGGCATTCATTCTCTCTCCGTATTTCTTGCCATCTTACAGACACTTCGGTTCTTAACAAACCTGCATAACCAGGGAAAGCAGCTAGAAAATGAGAAACAGCAAGGCTAGATGGTATAATGGAGAAAAGCAAAATTCCACCAAAGCGCTAGAACCTGACATCAGCAAAAAAGCTAATTTCCAACGGTCATAAGCAAGCCATGAACAAATAGCTAAGCAGGGGCTGCCAGCTGGACCTCTGCTACCAGTGCTGGACCATGCATTAAAAGCAGGATCACATCCCATACAGGCAAGCATGCGAGTCAGCAAAAGGGAAAACTTATTCCCCCCCCACCCCTTTAAAGACAAGACAAAAAGAAAAAAAGGGCATTATTCAGAGCTACGTTTCAAAAAAAGCAAAGCCAAGCAGCAAAGTAACTAAAACATACACCTAAACATGACTGCACATCCTAGCTTAATCTATCAAACAATGCTCGGAAGAAGCACTAAAGAAACTAAGACATTTTCCTCTTGAAATGACAATAAGAACAAGATCTTCAAAATTGTTCAGTATTAAGGCCTTGTTTTAATAAAAAAGAGCTTGACATGAAATCAAATCACAATACCTAGATATGCCATTTCAACAGTTACGTAAAAAACATACAGGCTCTACTAACTATGCGCATAACTGTTTTAGACTGAAGCTTCTAATTAACATCAAAATCGCACGAGAGAGCGAGCTACTATTAAATTGGGAAACACTACAACTGCAAATTCAGGGTTCAAATTCAGAGCAAGTAGAATGGAGACAAAGCTATACATAACTACACAGATGTGGAGGTTTAACAGTTTACATATACAAGATGTTCATTGCTGATGCTTCCAGCATTCTCAAAATCCAAGCCGCAGCACAGGCACGTGCCTTCTATTCAGCAAAATGCAAAAACAACACTTGAAGTACATTTCTGTCAAATCTCACAGAATATAGAGATGTTAATTCTTTTTTAACAGAAAGGCGAGCCAAAAAGAGTATTAATTAATCCAAACTAAACCAGCTTCTTTTAACATGGAAATCAGTGAATTATATCAAGAAGAACTTGATATACTACTTGTATATTTTCCACAAGTGATTAATCACAAAAGAGAGTTTAATTGGCAAGACTGATTGACTCAGTTAAGTTCATCCTACAAAAATCTCTAACGCAGCAGATGTATTAGCATACAAAGGAAAAGGTTTAACAGCCTGAATTTTGATACATTTGAGTCATGTCTACCTTATTACATTAAGACAGAAGTGACAGAAGTGACAGAGAGAAGATAAGTGCCTGTCTGACAGCACCTTTTGCACCTAATCTTGCTGGACTACATAGCTGCAACCTCAGTAGAGCCCAAATTAGAGCACAGCAAACTGTCTTGCAGCATACATGAAAGGGAACGAGATCAAGTTCATTTTCACTTGACACCTAAGAAAATATCTCACTCGTTGAAGTGTTACATAATAGTCCTTATACCACCTACTTATAACTCTCCATCCCAAGAGTTATCAAAACATTTAACTTCACAGATCTCCCCAAAAAAGGGAAAAAGTAAATTGCTCCACTGGGACACACACAGCCAGTTTTCAGAAAGCTAAAAAAACCAACCCCAAACCACCCAAGAAAATTCACCTTTCTCCAGTTACTTGCTAAGTGAACATGTGCCCGCAGAACTGTATTGCAAAATAGCCAATTACTTTATTTTGCATTAATCTTCACTCTTTAAAATCTGTTCAATTAGAGCAAAAGTAAATTCCACTATGTGAAGGTTGCTGTTTAATTGCCTTATACGTGATTATTTATCCTCAACACTACATTGCATAACTTGAAAAACAACAATAAAGATTTTCCTCTAAAGATCATCAGCTTATAATAAGCACTTAGATGTCAGATATTAGTTATCTTCTGTCGCACATCAGTACTGTGACAACAGTACCTTCTCTGTATAGTGGAATATAAAATTATTATGCCTTAAGAACTATCTATCGGTGCAAGGAACATTAACGCAAGCCTAGGGAGTGAGGGGAAACCCCTCCCAATGGTCCTCCCAAACTGTCTTTAGTCGTATTACTGGGATATTCATGTTACTTAAGTTCTTGAAGGAAAAGCCATCAAAAGAGGAACAACGATCTAAACCTGTTGACAGTAATCTCGTGTCAGAAAGCAGTCATTTGATTGAATCTGAAAAGGACTAAGATTGAGCATCTTTCTGTAATACGGTGAGCATCTGTGCCAACAAGCACCGAAGTTCCCGAGTGAAAGTGACAATGGAAAAATACTGGAACAGTATGTCAGCTCCATGAGACTGTTTCGGTAAGAGCAAAGAACACAAGGCTGTAAATAAATTTAAAGGCAAATCATTCCAATCCCCTCCTACATCACAGGCAGCATATCACATTGCCCAAAAGGTACATATTTGCCTTCACTGCTTGAGCTGGGAGCCCACGGCATCTTGTCACTA